TTTCAGCTCTGACCATGGCATATCCAGATGAACGCAAAGCTGTTCATGACTCTTGTCTGCATGTCATTCCTCTGGATTGGCTCTCAGATTCCGCTCTACCTCTTCGGCTCAGTCCTTCCGCTCATCTATCAAGATGTTGGTGGAGTTGATCGATACATTTGGTTTGTCATTGGATACCTCATTCCAAACGCGGCGCTCTGTCCATTTGTGGGAGCCTTGTCAGACCTCTTCGGACGTCAGAAGGTGGCTATCGTAGGCCAGGTAGCACTCATCATCGGGCCGATCATAACTGCGACCGCAAACACTATGAACATTGCCATCGGTAAGTGCCGCAACCTTATATAAAATACCACACACTAATACGGTTTAGCCGGTCAGGTCTTCTCGGGCATCGGTGCCGGCTTGAACGAGCTTATCGCCCTCGCCGGTACAGCAGAGGTCGTGCCGATCAAGGACCGCGGCAAGTACGTTGGCCTTGTGGTGATCACCATCCTTCCCTTCTGCCCATCAGTGCTGTGGGCTCAGTTGATCGCTCAACAAAGCGACTGGAGGTACAACGGCATCTTGGTTGGAGTATGGAACTTCGTCGGTTTGATACTATGTATCTTCTGCTACAAGGATCCGTCCCGCCTGACTGAGGAGTACACTGCCCGCCATGTCCTCCGCCAGGTCGACTACATTGGCGGTATCCTAAGTACAGTTGGCATCACTCTGTTCATGATGGGGCTACAATGGGGCGCATCACAGGTCAGTATATGATCTCAGAGCAAGCATTCACGGCAATGTTGACATTTTGTAGTATGAATGGGGTAGCCCGCACAACGCGGTGCCTCTCGTCCTGGGTATCGTGCTTATCATCGCCTTCTTCGTATGGGAAGTGTATGCTCCATACCCTATGGTTCCGCGGGCGCTCTTCCACAAAGCCAAAAGGACCATGATCGTAATCCTTCTCATCACCTTCCTCAGTGGCGGTAACTACTTCGTCATGCTGCTCTTCTGGCCGACCGAGGTCTACAATGTCTATGGTAAACACATACCCCGGTAGTCCCGCACGGTACGATCGTACTAACATGAGTATTATAGGTGACGACCCGGTCGGCATTGGTATTCGCTCGCTACCCATTGGCTTTGGCATCATCGGCGGCGCGGTTGTCTGCCTGGTCCTCATTCCCATTACCAAAGGCCGCGTCCGCGAGTTGATGATATTCTTCACTGCCATGATGACAGCTGGTACAGGAGCCATGTGCATTGCGAGACCAGATAACCTCAACGTAGTCTACGCTGTCGTCACATTGGCATCCGTCGGAGTCGGTGGAGTCATTATTCCTTCCTCAATCATTGCGCAGATTGCTTGTCCGGATGAACTCATTGCCACCGTTACGGCCATCACACTTAGCATCCGTTACCTTGGTGGCGCAATCGGGTTCGCCGTGTACTCCAACCTCTTCTTCCGCAAAGTCACTATACACTTGACCGAGATCGTCGCCACCAAGACCTTAGCGTATGGCGCCATCATCAACCCTCTATCAGCTGAAGGACTTGCCGTCATCACACACGTTACCAACCTCATGGGTAACGCGAGGTTCGATGAAGTCAAAGAGATTCTTGCTACGAGCCCTGAAGTTTTGAAGCGAGACTCGTTCCCTATAATATTGGCAGCTTCGCAAGAGGCTTTCGCCTTGGCGTATCAGTGGCCATATTGGATCTCGATCGCTTTTGGTGGTGTTTGCTTCATCTTGAGCTTCTTCGTTGGAAATATTCGGAACCTTTTGACGGCCAAGGTTGCTCATCCGGTATGAGAAGGTGGAAAACTTACATGAATAGCTTGATATAGTTCTCTTTATCTTGATGACTACGGTTATCAGAAATATATGCAGTTTGAAACGATCACGTTATATCTGGTTGTGGTGAAAAAAGACTTCGATGTAGCTCAACAGTATCCTTCGAATGTTCCTGGTTTCGCTCGAGTTGTGAATATCCGCAGTCAGCTTATACGTTTGATGAGAATACTATTTAGTTTCCAAAATAATGGAACATCTCGATCGTTAAACTTTTGATTAATGTATTGCCTCAACTGTATGATGCTATGTGTATGAAAGCACACCGGGTATATGACGCCACCACAACTGCCAACAGAACTACACTCACTATGCAAACCAATCCAGATAATAAAAGAAAGAAATCACGCCCTCTGGCAGTCTTGCAATGTGTACTGGTGCTTTTTTTACCTGCCAATAATAGCTATCGCAGGCCTTTTTTCCTCTTGAGCCCAAGCAAGCAGCGCCTTGTAGATCCAGCCTAATGACGCCGGGCCATACTTATTAGCCCACCAGCAACCACCCCGGCTGCCATGGCACCAACTTGGGTCCAAGGCATCTCGCATATGTAGAATCTGCTCTTTGTGACTACGCTAGCTAGATGGTCCAGCGACAAGGAGTTCTGTTTCTTGTGCCGAGTAGCGCGGGACGGCAAGGGTGACGGAGGATCAGGAATATATTTCGGAGGATCTGACCAGCGACGAGAAGAAGACTTGGATGACGGAGAAGCATGCGGCGACGTGGTAATTCCGGTACTTCTCGTTACGGATGAGGTCTGATCGGCAGACGGACCTGGGAAGGCGAAGGATAGATTGAGGGTGCCGCGTCCTTCATCGTTGGTGGGATGGTCTCCATGTTCAACCTCGTCTGGAATGACTCGATTGGCCTCCTCGATCAAGATCAGCGCTAGATCGCTGAGAGGGCAGACGTTGGTCATTTCCTCCCCTTCCGGTGGCACGACGACAAGGGTAAACTCGGGGCTGTTGCTGGTTCTGAGTGAAGTCTCCAACTCATCGTGAGACTTTGTATCCCATCGAGCACTCTCTTGGACGGTGTAGTTTTCATCTTCTTCGAAGGCGTCGTCGACAGGCTGCTCATTTCTGGCAGTCTGTCTAAACTCCTTGAGTGCATCCATGGAGTGAGTCCGACCATTGGTCTTACGGCGCATAGAAGACGAGCTCAGTCGCATCTCAGCTGGAATAAAGCTGTCCTTTGTATGCCTTCTGCCAATAGTTTGAAAGATTTCGAGAGTGGGAGTGATAGGTGGTGAGGATGATGCATAGCCCTCATCGCTAGGTTCGGAATCGGTCTCAGAAGTGACCCCAGCCTTGGAATCCTGGGTTTCGTCCTCGTCTCCAAAGACCACGCTGTTGAAATCCAACTCCCCTTCCGTTGCCGGGGCATTGAGCGGAATGGATAGCGAGGATAAGGCTCCATTGTTCTCCGTCATGTCAGTAACCAAGAACGGCATCGAGTGACGCTGAGCGTAAGCGTGGTAAGGTTCAAAAGCCTCTTCACCCCAGCTACCGGCCTCCCAGCTATCGATCGAAGCGGTGTCTTCCTCTTCAATCACATCAAGCCCATAATTAGCGTATAGCTCCTCAGTATCGCTTTTGGCAATCTCCAGTTGCTGAGATTTGTACTGACGATACAAGTCCTCCAGCTCCTTGCGCGAGAATTGTTCTGAAATGTCGACGTTGTTCCTGCTTTGATCGATAAGCATGCGGTCAATTTCTTCATTCATCTCGCGATCGGCCTCTTGGTCGTGCTCGGGACGATCGAAGAAGGAAACCTGATCCTGCTCTTGTTGTTCAAAGGCGAATATCTGCATGGCCTCGTCTTCATCGAGCACCTCCTCCACCTCTTCGCTCGCACCGTCGTCCATGTCGTCGATTTCGTGCGCGTTTTCAATGGGAGTGACGATGTTTAAGGGTGAATTACGATAGACCTTAACACATGAGGGCGATCTATGTTTCATTTTCCAGCTCTGAAACCCTTTCATGTAGTTAGACCGATAGTTCTTGGTGCTGCTCAACTCCGGATAGGCGGGCGCCTCTGCGTCTTCTTTGCCATCGTAGCGCAAGCCAATAGCGCGAGTTATACGATCGAACCGCGCGGACATAACCTGATGCTCTGGGCGGCAGTTAAGGACGGCGAGATACCAATATTCGGCCGGCAATTGAGTAGCAGGCTCTGGTTTCTGAGTAAGCTCAGTGTCGGATGACTCTTCGCCGACGGGAGAATGCCAAAACGCGCGCTCGTTGCGAATGCGGGACAGGGTGTAGGTCTCATCTTCTTCCTTCGTCGCATCTCCGGTAGGAGGGACTTGAAGAGGACCTAACTCTGCGGCGGTAGGCGCGGAGGTGTCGGCGGTAGCATTCCAGCTATCCAGGTCGAAATCATCATCGTCGTCATCAGCCCAGTCGAACTTGCGGCTATCAACAATAAGATCTTCGGAAGCCATATCCTGTGGCTTCAATGTGTCGGTTTGATAGTGTGTAGGGATAGTAAAACGGTTGAAGATGGTCGATATGTCAACTTTCGCAACGGCGAACCAAATCAGGTCGAGGTAAGCCGAGAAGACTTTGTGATAAAGAGCGTGATGCGGTGTGATTCCTGGACCGACAAGTTGCAAGTGCAATCGCGAGTGTGTGACGGTGAGAGTTCAAACACTCCTGATGCCTGCTGGTTCTGCGATGATGGTGTGTGCGCAGTCATTCGTAAAGAGGGAAACGACGGGCAAAAAACTATGTAATGAATGAGGGGCTGAAGACATTTTGGCAAGTGAAAGCGTTGTGTGCTGACTTTGCGACGGTGGATGACCCTTGATCGAACCAGGGTTCACTCCTCGTAGGCTGAGTCAATTGTAACCCACACTTTGGCTTTCGCACAAAATGCTTGAGGACATTCATGGGTACGCGCAAGGGTTTATATTCACAGATGAAATGCTAGTTCTGTACACAAATGGTTGTCTTGATCCGGGTTTCCCTAGCGCGCCAAAAGAGAAATGGCAAAAACAAAGACAATGTACAAAATACGTCTGTGTTGCCCAATGAAACACGTTCCGCGGAGGATTTTCGATTGAATTCTGCGCACTACCATTTTCCCAACATATGTTCCGATCTGAAGTAGGCCCTAACGTTCGCCGAACCATCGTTCTGGGTGAAATGCGGAGTCGTTATAACGGTCCGTGAGGCCAATCGTGTCAACTTCAAATAGTTCCCTGGCCGACCGCCTAGATAACGCTGTCGATCTTCGGAGAGGGTCGCCGGCTCTGTACGGCAGCTGGTACCAAGTTCCAAGCCGTCCGTGAGAACTGTTTTGTAGCCCTAAAGCAGTCGCGTGTGGCTTGCTTTGACTTCTTTGGCAACATTTTAATGAAATGCTTCATCCTGCTAGTCCACTTACGCCGCATACTGTTGGGACTATCATGGGCCGCCGGTTCTGATTCCAAATCATAATCTAAATCAGTTGAGACATTATCGTCTACAGTCCGCTCGCGCACTAACGGAGAGTCATGGGTCTTGTTTGCCACGAACGTCGCAGGGACATCTCTAGTATCTTCGGCGGACGTATACAGTGGTGCATATAGCTGCTCAATATCCTCTACTTGTAGCTCATCAGACCAACCTTTAGTGGTAAGGACAGGTACGCTATCAACACGCTTTCGATCCCGCTTGTCATCGCGCTCATACTTCTCGACATCCATACCGGGGCCATCCATATGGAGATGATGTTCATTGTTTGCTGACTGTAGACGATCGGTCTGATAGGAAGATATTGATGTCATGGAGGTGCATTTCGAGAAGGCGGAGGTCCAAACGGACGACTTGGTATTCAGTGTATCCTTGGAAGGCGAAATCCTGACACGAGATACGAGGTCGTATTGGTCCTGCTGTGTGGCGGTACTCGCGTTCGTGATCACCGGTGGCTGTACATGCTCATAGCAGCTCGTCGAAAACCGCAACAGGGACGGCCCATGCACCGTGCTGCATCCCGTCTTGAACTTGGCATCTAGCCACTCCCGACGGCAGTAACCTGTACCACCACCTACGTTGTGTACGATTCGGAAGCGCTCGCGTAGCAAAGCAAGTGCGTCGTCCGCAGATAGATCCAGTACGCTTGCGTCAGACGACGGATTCGGCGATGAAGACAGCGAGGATGGTTCGAAAGTCGACCAAGGCAAGCAGACATCTTCGTTGTAAGAAACGGAGATTTCATCAGCGCGAGCGATGAGCGACGCAAGTGACCTACCGTCGCTGTGCCTGCGAATTCCAAAGTTCTGCTTGTTGTTGTAAGGGTAGGAGATATCGATAGACTCCAGAGGCGACAGCATAGGTGGGTGGTGGACGAGATAGTTGTTGTTCAACGGGTCAGCGTTAACGTGTTCCTTGTCTTCCTTCTCATCCTTCTCATATTCTTTGATCTTCTCAGCGAATGCCGATACAGCATGCTCGATCTTTTGACTGAGATCAATTTCGTCGTCTTCTGAGTCAGATTCAAGGTCCAAATCAGCGTTATCGACACCTGCCCTTGCCATGCATTGAGCCAAAGAGGGTAGCTTCGCCCTTGCAGAAGACTTGGTTTTGAAGGTCTGATTCTCTCGTATGAAGTTTTGCAAATCGTTCCATGATCGGTCTTCATCTTCCTGGTCGTTAACGTACGCGCCCAGATTGGCCTTCATGTCTTCGTCTAGTAGCTCGGTTGTTAGAGACTGCGTATATAGATGTCGCCTGGCGAACCCGAACTGACGATGCAGGAACTCGGAGTCGGGCCATCTCGCTCGTGTGTCTATTGCTAGGTTTGCATCCGCGATGATAGACAATGCCAGACTGAGGCTATTTCTCAACAGAATGTGTAATTGGGTGATTGACACTTGGTCGATTGTTTTGGGTGATGTGAGACGAAAGGCGTGGTGTCTTTACACCAGATTCAGATGCAACCGAAGTCGCTGTTCAACAAACATGAAAGCCTTTACCTGCGGGTCGCCTTTTTGAAGGCGCTTACCACGGTGACGGTGGTTGCGTTTGCTCCCATATTCTGCTTAGGGCCGGATTATCTTTGCGTCTTTCACTCGCCCAAAAGGGAAACGATTTGAACATCGACACAATACTTCTGAGGGGACACATCGCGGGAAAAGGTAAAGGAAAGAGAGAATAGCAAGCGCGAGGGTTGCTGTGGGCAACAGCAAATAAGTCTTCTACAACGATGGTCGAATTCGGGATGCCTGCTCCATCTCTGATATGCGGATGAGCAATGGCTATATATACATCGAATATCACATTACTGACCAGCAGGTTTTCGGTGCATAACGGTCGCAGCTGCCTGAAGGAAGAAGTTAGCAACCTTCTCCTCGTGGTTCCATCGACTCTTGCTGCACATACCTGGTGGTTCGGGAAGATCAAACTATCGGCCAACACGACATTCTCCCTTCGCCCTGCAGCAAACACGACAACCTCGGCAATGTCCTCTGGTGTCAACGGTTCAACGCCCTCGTACACCTTCTTTGCTTTCTCCTTATCGCCGCCAAATCTTACAACACTAAACTCGGTCTCCACCTGCCCTGGGTCGATCTCGATAACGCGAATTCTTGTAGCGATGAGCTCCTTGCGCATGGCGTCTGTGAAAGAGCGAACAGCTGCCTTTGTAGCGCAGTAGATGGAGCCACCTTGGTAGGGCTCGCGACCTGCGATACTGCCAATGTTGATGATGTCACCTGAGGGTGTGGAGCGTGCTTTGAAGATGGGGAGGATGGCTTGCGTCATGTTGATTAGGCCGGTTACGTTTGTGCTGAACATGGTGTCGATGTCGGCGGGGGAGATGTCAGGGGCTTGAGCGACGCCCTTTACAAGGCCGCTGATATATCTGTTAGCTCGCGGACCAGAGTATGTAGAGGAGTAATGACATACGCGTTGTTGACCAGAACATCAATGTCCTTGTACTCTTGTGGTAGGTTGCCAACGAAGCCCTGCACTTCATCTGGCTTGCTGACATCGAGCTTTACTGGTAGGACCTTGACGCCTTTTGCGAAACCCTGGATTTCCTGTGCAAGCTCCTTCAATGTGTCCTCTCGTCGCGCGGTCAGGATGAGCTTCAGGTCATCGGGTTGTGTCCGCGCAAACTCGATTGCTGTCGACTTGCCGATACCAGAGGATGCACCGGTGATGACAATAGTCTTGCCCTTGAGGCGCTCTGCCATCTTGGTCGCCATTTTCGCAGTTTGTTGTTGGAGGATACGCGATAGCTGGATACTCGTGGGCGCGATGCGGGGTCGTAACGGGGCTCTGGCGAGAGAGGTAGCAGCGCGGAAGAATTGGCGAGAGGACAGGAGATTAGGCATGTACGTCGCAATGCTTTGTAATGCAGCGATGGAGGTTTGCACAGCGTGGGGGAAGGCAATTGGGGAATTTGGGGACGCAGGCGGGATGGTTATGAGGTTAGCTATTGACATAACTCCGAGGCTGCGCGAGTCAGGCAGGCTGCATGGAGGGGTACTGTAAGCACGACAGTGTGGGGGGTTCTTGTGTCACCATCTATGACTTGATCCGCCCCATCGCACATTGCCATACGGCCAAAGAGAAGTGTAAGTTGAAATTATTTCATTCGTGCCTTTGCCGTGTCTCAGGCCGGCTTCATGGAGACGTTTCATCGTCAATCCAAGTTATTATCTTCCTCCTCCAACTCCTAGCACACTGTGCTGTGTGCGGGGTATCGAAATCGTTATATATCACGACCACTTTAGTTGGCACCCTTCTTCTTGAGCATGGCCTCGTCCTCTTCCCTCAGCTCCTGGTCGATCTTGGCTCCCTTGGAGGGCTCGTTGCCGTGTGCGCGTGCGGGAAGGGTGGCATCTTGCTCACGCTGACGGTCCTCGAGAGACTTCTCCTCGCCCTCCTTCTCACGCTTCTCCTCGCGCTCGAGCTTGTTGGCGATGGATCGCTCGTCCTCTGTCGTCATGGTTAGTGATTGTTCTTTGAGAAGAGACGGCTAGTATCGCGTCACACCGACGCAGTGCAACACATGCAGGGCTGAGGTAAACATACTGGAGTCCTGTGCCTTGTGGGAGTTATCCTTGCCCTCGTGGAAGCGGTTCTCCTTCTTCTCCTGCTCGATCTCGGCGTTGGAGCGGGTGACCTGGTCCTGAGACTCGTACACCGCGCTGTTACCGACGTTGGAAGTTCCAGACATGTTGTATGTGTGTATGTGGGGGGTATGTGGGAGTGGTAGAAGGTTTGTAAAGTGTAGTTTGAAGTGAGAAGTGATGATTGATTGCTGTTTGTTCTCGTGTGAGTGTCTTCTCCCCTCTTTATTAAGGTTCTGAAGTTTGCGCAGAGGCTAGGACCCATGATGACGTAGCTGGTAGCAATTACATCATGGTGGGGAAAACAAACACCACCCATGGATATTTCGGGCACCAAACGCGAGAAGCCTGATGACATGCATGAGGCCGATGTGGTGCCTGAGGCTGATTTAAGCTTGCATATTGCGATCACGGAGCGTTCCCGATGGGCGAGACGCAACTTTGACGCAGAACGCGATATGCATCAATCACGCGACAATTACGCGTAGCTCCTCTTCCTGATCCATCTATCGACCAAGGCCAGCGCTTCCTTCGGCTTGTTCATTGGCACCATATGGCCTGCTCCGTCCACTGTAGCGAACGCAAATGTCGTATCTCGCCCACTTGCAGTCGTTGTCTTAACTTCCTTGAACCACCCCACCTCCTTCCCCTCGTTCTCCCACGATCGCTTTGGCTGCGCAACAAACGCAGGTTGACCCTTCCATTGCATCGTGTTGGCCCATTGTAGGTTACCTGCCGTGTTGCAAGCAAGATCCAAATTACCCTGGTAGAAGAGCACATCGATGCCGTGCTCAAGAAGATACAAGACCTGAGGTTGCGTGCTTAGGACTCCATCACCGGTGAGGGCAAAAGCCCATGCGATATCGTAGGAGAGTCCCGTGAAGTTTTTCACGGCTTGGGGTACGCTCAGTGCATTCCAAACATCTGGCGTGTTCATGTAATCTTGTATCCTCTGCATCTCAGGGTAGCACAATTCGTCTTTCGTCTCGCAGCCATCCGTGATGTCGAATCGATTGCGACCTCCCGCTCCAGCCTCGCCGTCATAGTAGAGAATAACACCGTACATGCACACTTCTTCAGCCGCAATACATATGGCTGGGTCCGGATGGTTATAGCACACGTTAGTTAGCTCCATGCAACGAGGAAGGTTAGTAGCCATGATGTCGCAGCGGGTCTGGTTGAAGATGGGACTCTCGACACCGGGGTTTGTCGTGCATAGAGTTTCCCAGAAACCAAATGCAGTATCTCTGGGCGAGACAAATGCGTTTCCTGTAAAAGTCGACTTGAGGTTGACCTGAGGCCGCTTAGGATAAGCTAGGTTCTTCGAGACAATCTCGGCGCCGAGTGTTGGGACGTAATGGCCCTGTTGGTGATCAGCCCATGTCTGGTAAATGGTAGCGGCAACATAGACGTACAGCATAACTTTCTCCCGTTATGTGGAAGTCCCTATTGCTAAGATCTGGGAATACGTCGCTGGTGAACAGCTGCAGAAAGTGATGCATATCCTCTGCAGCTGTGAAGCTCGTCGCTGGAAGCGGGATTCCCTCGTCGACGTAACTAAAACCAACACCAGCGGGCTGATCGACGAATATAATGTTGGCATTCTTGCTCCATCCATATTTGTTGTACACGGTTCCATTTCCAGACTCATTGATGAGGCAAGGCCCCAGCTCGCCCAGCAATCCAATCATGCCTGAACCACCCGGTCCTCCTGTTAGCCATAGCAGGAGCGGGTCTTCAGAGGGTTTATCTTGGGACTCGAAGTACCAGAAAAAGATATGCTTTGAGCCGATGTCCAGCCAGCCTGTGTACTGTTTGGAGCGTGCATCACAAATGGTGCTGTTTTGTTGCTGCTTAATCCGGATAGAGTGGTGCTCTGAGAATTGGCTTTGGTAGATCTGAAAGCCTTCTGCTTCTGGTTTCTCCTGGAATGGCACTTGCGAAAACAAGGATGCTGTTGCGGTCGCGGAGAGCAGCCCGAGGATGGAGAGCTTCATGGTTGGCAGGGTACCCTGATGGGCGGTAATGGCGTTGTTCAACACGAGACGAGAGGCACCGAAACACGATTCAATAGAGATCAATGCAAGGTGGAAATCTCACAGATACGTAGCACAGGTCTGGGTATCACCAAGGAGGTATGAAAGAGGTGAGAAGGAAAGGAGGTTGGTCCTTACGAAAGGTACCTAGGTAGCCACCGCCAGATGACGCTCCGTCGTCTTCGGTTGGAGGCCCGCGGCGATTGAGCAGGGGTGTGAGCATTTGGCTCTGCGAACGTACTTCACCACTACTACCACACGCGACTTCACCCCCACCCTGCCTATTCTGCGCGATCTAACCGCGTCAAGTCGTACCTTCGATACATACGAGCTGCTATCGACATTTTGGATAACACCTAGGATCAAGCACCACCCAAACATAACCCATCGACCCTACGCGCATTCAAACCAAGCAGTCGCTGCTTCTTTCACTATGCCTTACAACAATACACCAATAGCGCCAAACAAGGAGATTACGGGCCATGTATCGCTTCCTCGTAAGTAATGGCCTATTCACATCTTACTCTCACTCCTGTCCTCTCACCCATCCTCATAGTAGGCGACCATTCTAACACACGGCACAGTCGCACGCGTGCAAAAGATCATACAAGCGGACCCCGAACGCATTACAACCTCCAAGAATGCCGCCTTTGCCATCGCACTAGCGACAGAAATGTTCATTCAGCACCTTGCGCAAACTACACACAATGTTGTCAAAGCCGAACGTAAGCCACGGCGCAACATCCAATACCGCGATGTCAGCAGTGCGATAGCGAAGACGGATAATCTAGAGTTCTTGGTCGATGTTGCGCCCAAGACGAGCACATGGGGAACCGTGAAGAAGAAGCTGGAAGAGAAAGAGAAGGAGGACGCTAAGAAGAAGGACAAGGATGGTCAGAAGGACGGAGTGGTGAATGGACAGAAGACATTGGATGGCCCTGTTGACACGGCCGAGGTGGGCGCGGGTAAGGACAAGGACACAGAGACGCCTACCAACGGCGATGCAACCATCTCGCCTACGCCAGCGAAACCAGACGAGACGCCCGATGCCATGGAGGTCGACCAGGAGGTCGAGCGGGTAGAGGACAGCGAGCCAGAAGAGGACGCTGCAGCGATGCAAATCGAGATGGAGATGCGCGGCCCACCTCGCCAACCTACGGCGAGTGCAAGCAAGAGTCCAGAAGCTAGGCGGTCAACCGGTGGATTTACTGCGATTAATGGTCAAAAGTGAATCCGCTAGGACGTGAAGAGCAGAGAGAGAGGCGACGTTCTAGACGAATGTTATCTTGCATTGCATAACGGCGTTAGCTGGATATATCATGGGAATAGCGCTGGGTTGTTTGAACAACGATCTGCATCAGGACTTCATGTAAGAACATGGAAAGTAAACCAACGGGATACGTGAATGTGAAGTTGTATACATTACTTCTGAGCAAAGCGGGATGTTCCAATTCTGCTACACCCCAGATTAGATTGTCCCTCTGCTTCTGCTCGCATGTGTCTCATACTTTCTTCAACTCCCTCGTCAGCCTTCTACTCCTTCAATTCCGTGTCCGGGTCCCAAACCTCCACAGTAGCCTTCCAGTCGTCCCTCACTACAATTCTCTCCAGTACTCCCACCGTCCGCTCCCACTCGACTCCGAATTTCCCGCTATTGATTTTGCACATCCTGACACTTTCGATCTCACCCGCCATCTTCGCCAGCTCCAGCAACATTTCCATAGCTGGCTTGGTATTCCCAACAATAACATCTGGCTTGTCCTTGCCCTTTCCGTACTTTGCGCTTGTGAACAGGCAACCGATCCAGTGCTGGTGTCCAGCATCAACAGGCGGAATTAAAAGGGCGGTGCCAGTGGGAACAGGTCGAGACTTCAAAAGGTGCTCTTTCGTGCAGAAGGCATGATATATTGCGTAGGCTTTTGGATACTCGACTTTAAAGGCTTTGGCTATCCCACTGCCCCAGGCGCCTTGGGTATTGCAAGCGTGTATTAGCAAAGTATGTGGGGGAGCGGCGAAGATGTTTCCGGTGTGATGGGTGAGGATGAGAGTGGTATTGGGCATCTCAGACAAGAGTGATGATGGGGGCAACTGGTATGAAGAGCAGTCTTTGTGCGAGAAGTGGCGCGGTGGTGTATCGTCCTCTGAGAGCCCCGTATCTCGTCGCTTCTCGAGTACTGGGGATGAGGATCCTGATAGTTTCCTCTTGCGTTTGCCTTTGTCTTGTGGCTTTGTAGCAGTCGACATTGGCGGTCGATCAATTGATCCTTCGTCGATTTCTCTGGCTTTTGTCCTAGGTTTGATTCCTTCCTTGGACACAAAGTAAGATCTAATGTTAGAGTCGTTGGGAGACATGATGTGGTATTTCAAACAGAAAGCTTTGTTGTAGCAGAGTTCTCAAAGTGAAAAGCGAGGGTACTTGAAGCGGGGAGAATTGAATTTGGAAGACTATTGCATAGATTCAAAGACGGTTGTACCTACCTAGATAGGTAGCATCCAGGCAGTCGCCAAGACAATCAAGTCGGAATGCTTGCCCAAACCACAAACTGTTTCACCTGCGATGGTGTGCTCAAGAGAGAGGGATGGGAATAGACTTGGTATGATTTGACAATCTTGAAGCGTTGATGCTGGCTTCGAGCCAGGATTCTATGGGTGATACTGGGGACACGCCGTTGCTCACTCTTGCAAGGAACCACAAACACGACTTACTAGAATCCCATGGCCGTTCTGATGAAGGGATTGAATGCGACATGGATATCAGACAATGTGTGAGGCTCGTAGTGATGTTGGCCGATGACGCTGCAGGTGAATATGGCGATGCGGCGGAGAGCGGCCGACCAATCACACGACACCTGACATAACGCTCCTTGCCAAACCGCCAAAACTTCGACATACTCAACCCGAGCTCTCCCCCATCAACGACACCGCCCACCGCCCACCCGCGTCCACGATGCCCGCCCTCGCCAACACAACCCGTGCCATTGCACGTTCATGGACCGCTCACCAGATGCCCGTCGCTCGGGCGGCCGGCACCACCGCTCTGCAGACCCGCAACGCCTCGGCTTCCTCGTTCGACAGCCCCTTCAAGGGCGGCCCAGACACGACCAAGATCCCCTCGTTCGCTGCGTACAGGAATAAGGGAGGCGAGACAGGCCCCAAGATGTTCCAGTACTTCATGGTCGGAACCATGGGTGCGCTGAGTGCGCTTGGCGCGAAGGCGACTGTCCAGGGTAGGTCCCTAGCCATGCGATAGCCCAGCGGAGGGGTGGAAAATACTGGAAACGCCCGATGCTGCATATTCGGAGCTGGTGGAGAGCAATTGGCTATTTTGGAGATGATTTGGATCGCGAATTGATGAAGACCGGACGGCTAACGACTGCGCCCAACAGACTTCCTCGTCAACATGTCCGCCTCCGCCGACGTTTTGGCCCAGGCCAAGGTAGAAATCGACCTCGCTGCCATTCCCGAGGGCAAGAACGTAAGTTCCGCAGTTCGATGTGGAATACTTGGACACTGGAGCTGACGAGAGCAGGTCATTATCAAGTGGCGAGGCAAGCCCGTCTTCATCCGACACCGCACCGAATCCGAGATCAAGGAGGCCGACGACACCAAGTGGGAGTCTCTCCGTGACCCCCAGCCCGACAAGGACCGTGTCCAGAAGCCCGAGTGGTTGATCATGTTGGGTACGTCAGGCATACAAGATTCAGTCTGCGAGTCATAACTGACAATACTAGGTGTCTGCACCCATCTGGGATGTGTCCCCATTGGTGAGGCTGGTGACTTTGGAGGCTGGTTCTGCCCTTGCCACGGTTCCCACTACGACATCTCTGGCCGCATAAGAAAGGGACCTGCCCCGCTCAACCTGGAGATTCCCGCATACGACTTCCCTGAGGAGGGCAAGGTCGTCATTGGTTAAGCAGAACAATTCTTCAGTGGTGGACAGCGGTGATGTCAACTTGTGTGTATAGGAGCGAGCATCAATTTCCTACGGTTTGATTCACATAGATTCAGCTTGTGTCCTTGCAATGTAACACCAGTCAGAGTCAATCTTGGCCATCTTTGGTTCTATTGTTGGGTGGATGCATGTATGATTCCATATCTACTGCCCGTTCAAGAATGTTTTTACAGCCTCCACAGCGCCCTTGAACTTGTCTGCTTCAATCAACACCATGTGTCCCTTGGGCTTAACTCCCAGCTCTTGAAACGCTCTCTTGCTGTCACTCGCGCCCTCATCCACCGGTGTATCATACTCAAAGCTCGTGTATCCCACGGCATGTTTGTGCAGTACTTCGTCCTCGGGATGGAAATAGAATGTCTCCTCACCCACATCGGCCTTCTTGTTCTTCTTCTTGCTTGGTGGTGCGTCTTCGCTCGGCAGCTGACTCTGTATCTCGGAATAACATTTGGACAAGACGAGGTAGTGTGTGAATGTGTAAGGTTCCTTTTCCTCAACCGCCCACTGAATTTCTTCCAGAAGCATCGTGTACATTGGTGGTACGATTTCATGGGGCATGTTTATGAAGCGCTCGGTCAAGATGAGGCCGATTTGCGCGGAGGACGTGGTTGTGAGGAGAGGTGGGAGTGTTGGGATCGGCGCAGACTTCTTCGAGAGGTAGGTTGTCAAATCTTGGATTACCTTTTTGTCCTGTTTGCCGTTAGCATATGAATGGGCACATCTCGTATGGAGAGGTCATACCTTGTGTGTCTCTAGGTTCAGGACGGTAAGGAAGGCGTACGGATCCGTCTCATTGCCATCGACCTTGACTGTGCTGCCGAGTAGCGGTTGCGATAATATAATATCCGCGAGTTCAGAGAGGTTGAACAACTGCGAATCAACATCGAGGAGTTGGCGCAAAAGGTTCTTGAGGCCGTGGAAATCAACCGCTGGCTGCGGGTCGAACCATTCAAAGTCGACGTTCACCATATCCATGTCCTACGAATTTGTGAGCAGGCGCATCGTGAGAAGACCTTAGCAGGGAAGGCGCATACCTCGTCGCTGCCCGACTCGTCGTCATCGTTCTGTTTGCGCTTGTCCGATGCATCGGGAAGCTCTTCGGGATCTCTCTCAGACTTTCGTTTCGCCATTGTGTAGATGTGTGGAAAGTATGAGCAGGGTTGGTGAGGTCAGTGGGTACGCGACTTTGCGCGCGATGCAACTACGTTTGTTATCGATAGGCTGTGGAATAATTCTTCAGCCCCGCCCTGGGGGTAACATGCTCAATCACAGAGACTCTGCAACTATGTCGCATATTTTGTCTTCGAATCAGAAGCGATGGTTAGTCAATTAAACATATTCCAGCTACATGGATCAAGTGCTTGTACAAGGGGGCTCGTCTTTCGAGGGGTACCTCATAGAGACAAGATACCCCAAAAGGATTCACAATCGTTCGTAGCATTACACTTGCATGATATCAACCGTGCAATTCTCTGGGCTACTATTCTGTGTAGTTCCTCTGTATCCAGGCAGCAATCCGGCTTAGACGTCCGGCCTTTCTTCGTACCAGAGGATCGATGGAGATACTAGGCAAGACCCTGCCCCGCTAAAATTTTGTGAGAATCAGTCACAAAGCATCCCACTATTAGACCTTCTTCCTTCCCCAGATACCCGTCTCCCTCTTTCTTTCCTTTCTCTTTCACTTCTCTCTCCCTGTTCTACTTCTACTACATCGATTCTCTATTTCAAAATGGCGACCGACAACTCGGACCCAATTCCTCCCCACAAGACGTTCGATACCATCCTGGTACTCGACTTCGGCTCCCAGTACACGCATCTGATTACGCGCCGCCTCCGCGAACTCAATGTATACTCTGAGATGCTGCCATGCACTACCAAGATCGCTGATCTGCCCTTCACCCCCAAGGGAGTTATTCTCTCCGGTGGCCCGTACTCCGTCTACGAGGAAGGCGCACCACACGTCGACCACGCTGTTTTCGATCTCGGCGTACCGATCCTGGGAATATGCTACGGATTACAAGAGATGGCGTGGCACTTTGGAAAGAACGCTGGCGTAGCTGCTGGCGAGAAGAGGGAATACGGACACGCGAACCTGAAGGTTGAGAGTCACGGTGGACACATGGACCAGCTGTTCAAGGACTTGGGCAACGATCTCGAGGTCTGGATGAGCCATGGTGACAAGCTGAGCCACATGCCTCAGGACTTCATGACGGTTGCGACAACTACCAACGCGCCATTTGCAGGTATTGCGCACAGCACCAAGAAGTACTACGGCATTCAGTTCCACCCTGAGGTTACACACACAAAGAAGGGTAAGGTTCTGTTGAAGAACTTCGCCATCGACATCTGCGAGGCCAACACCAACTGGACTATGAGCAAGTTCGTCGATCAGGAGATCACGCGTATCAGGAAGTTGGTGGGCGACAAGGGACAGGTCATCGGTGCCGTCAGTGGTGGCGTCGACTCGACTGTTGCTGCAAAGCTGATGAAGGAGGCCATTGGCGACCGCTTCCACGCCGTCATGGTCGATAACGGCGTCCTGCGACTCAACGAAGCCGTTCAAGTGAAGAAGACGCTCGACGAGGGCCTGGGCATCAACCTGACCGTCATCGACGCGTCCGACCTCTTCCTCGACCGCCTCAAGGGCGTAACTGACGACCCCGAGAAGAAGCGCAAGATCATCGGCAACACTTTTATCGAGGTCTTCCAGAAGCAAGCCGAAAAGATCAAAGCAGAAGCTCACGAATCTGCCAACGCTGGTGATATCGAATGGCTCCTTCAAGGTACCCTCTACCCTGACGTCATCGAGTCGCTCTCCTTCAAGGGCCCTTCTCAAACCATCAAGACACACCACAATGTCGGTGGTCTACCAAAGGACATGAAGCTCAAGGTCATCGAGCCTCTACGTGAGCTTTTCAAGGATGAGGTCCGTGAGCTGGGCAAGGAGCTCGGTATCCCCGAAGACCTCGTCTGGCGCCACCCGTTCCCCGGTCCAGGTATCGCAATCCGCATCCTGGGTGAGGTCACACGCGAGCAAGTCCGCATTGCGCGGGAAGCTGATAACATCTTCATCGAGGAGATCAAGGCCGCGGGTCTGTACAAGAAGATTAGTCAGGCGTTCGCTGCGCTTCTGCCTGTCAAGGCGGTTGGTGTCATGGGTGACAAGCGAGTTCACGACCAGGTCATCGCGTTGAGAGCTGTTGAGACAAGTGATTTCATGACAGCGGACTGGTACCCCTTCGATGGCGAGTTCCTCAAGAGGGTTAGCAGGAGGATCGTGAACGAGGTGAACGGAGTTTGCCGTGTGGTATACGACAGTAAGTCTGACGGATGCGACCTCACTGAGACAAATACTGACATGTTCTAGTCACGAGCAAGCCTCCCGGTACTATTGAGATGGAGTAGACATGCCGCGTGATGGAGTTGTGCGTAAGTGCACGAAGTAGATGTAGCCGGCAAGCCAGATTCAGATATGAAGGTTTTTAGACATATGATACCCCTGTATAAGTCACGATGAAGTGAAATACAACTTTTCAATTCAATACCGAAGTGCTGCCGAAGTGCTGTGTGAAGAAGCTTGCTGTGGAGAAGCGTATGCAGTGTGAAATGTGACTGGCACCAAAAAGCACCCTAAAGGTATCTGTTGTAATCCACTGTGAGATTTCGGTATACAAAATATGTTGTATCCCTTGAAAGTAGTGTATAAATACGACTTGAAACGTATGAGCTTCCCTTCGTGTCGTGGTATCGACTTGGGAATTTTCTTGTAGAATAGCTGATGTTTCCTGTCTCCAAAAATTGATCCGACCATGATGGAATTGGATCTAGGTAAATTGAGCCCTGAGGCATGCGCTACACTGTGTCAACCTATTCACGAATCTAGAACCTAGCAAAGACGTTCAAGATACCTTGTAGTCACAATATGGAGAAAACGATCTTTCTTGGTTCATGTCTTCGCAAGTGTGGCTGTGCATGATCGGACTCCCGAGACGTCGATCTGGAGCTGGGACGGGAGGGACCCTTGCATGAGATAGCTCCCAGATGATACGCAGCCACGCCAAACTCCAAACTTCGAAACAACCAGGCCACTTGATCCACGCTCTTCCCACGCGAAGAAAACCCCCTTCAATGACGATGCGATGAATCGTTCCTCATCCTCTGGCTCACGCGCCCGCCAATCCTCCCAACAGCCTACACCCCTCCGTCCCCAGTCCACGCGCCGTCCGTCCTCGCGCCCCAATCAGCCCTCACGCTCCACGTCTTTTGCACCTTCTCTCCGGCGGCGCACAACAGGCCAATCCTTCCTGTCCCTCGACCCTGACCATGATGACCCTGAGGCTGCAGAAACTACACATACTGATGCGGCCATTGTCGAAGAGATAGCAGAGATCAAGCGGTATGAAGACTTCACAACGATAGACTGGGTTCAAGACGCTGCCCGCGAACAACTGCGACGGAAAGCGCGCCGGCGTGAAAGAGATAGCATCGGTGTGCGGAAAGATGGCAGGACCGCGAAAGTGTTCCTAGGCCGAGGACAAGGGAAATGGAGGCGGAAGATCGCCGAAGCATACGATGCAGGCCAAGCGTGGATTGTCGTTACGCTTGTTGGCGCTGCGATAGGTCTCAACGCTGCCTTCCTCAATATTATCACTGAATGGCTGAGTGATATCAAACTGGGACATTGCACTACAGCCTTTTACCTCAACGAGAGTTTCTGTTGCTGGGGTGCCGAAGGTGGTTGCCCTGAGTGGAAACGCTGGAGTGGATTTTGGCCAGCGAATTACGTTCTCTACATCATGTTCGCAGCTCTGTTCTCCTTTACCGCGGCAAGGCTGGTCAAGAGCTTCGCACCGTATGCAGCTGGTTCGGGTATCTCAGAGATGAAGTGCATAATCGCGGGCTTCGTTATGAAGGGCTTCCTAGGCTTCACCACGCTTTTCATCAAGTCGATTGGCCTGCCGCTTGCTATTGCGTCGGGGCTGTCGGTCGGCAAGGAAGGGCCTAGTGTGCATTATGCCGTATGTACGGGTAATGTGATCAGTAGGTTCTTCGACAAGTACAGAAGGAACGCGGCCAAGACGAGAGAGATCTTATGTGCGAGTGCGGCAGCAGGTGTAGGTGTAGCATTTGGAAGTCCAATTGGAGGTGTGCTGTTCTCACTTGAGGAGATGAGCAATCAGTTTCCACTCAAGACACTTTGGAGGAGTTATTTCTGTGCGCTAGTTGCTACGGCGGTTCTGTCTGTAAGTCTGATGGATGTGAACATCACATCTATGTTGAGGCTGACGTATCTCTAGGCTATGAATCCTTTCCGAACCGGCCAGCTCGTCATGTTCAACGTCTCGTATGACCGCTCCTGGCACTTTTTCGAAATCCTCTTCTACATCATCATCGGTGTCTTTGGCGGCCTCTATGGTGCTTTCGTCATCAAATGGAATCTCAAGATGCAAGTCTTTCGCAAGAAGTATCTTTCGGCATACCCCATTACAGAGGCTGTTACGCTAGCTGTTATCACTGGTGTTATCTGCTATCCGAACATGTTCTTGAGGATCGATATGACAGAGAGTATGGAGATTCTGTTTCAGGAGTGTGAGGGCGACAAGGGCTATGACCGTCTTTGTGATGCGAACCATCGCTGGCACAATGTTGGAACCCTTGCCATTGCAACGGTCCTACGCACCCTGTTGGTCGTTATATCGTTCGGGTGTAAAGTGCCTGCTGGCATCTTCGTGCCTAGTATGGCCATCGGCGCCGCTTTTGGTCGTATGATCGGTATCTGCGTTCAAGCTCTGCACGAATCTTTCCCTGGCTCAGCTTTCTTCTCGGCCTGCGATCCAGATGGAGCTTGTATCACACCAGGCACCTACGCCTTCCTCGGCGCAGCGGCGGCTCTCAGTGGCATCATGCACATCACGGTTAGCGTCGTGGTCATCATGTTCGAGATCACCGGCGCATTGACATACATTCTCCCCACAATGATAGTCGTGGGTGTTACAAAAGCAGTTAGCGAACGTTTTGGTCATGGTGGAATCGCAGACCGCATGATCTACCTGAACGGCTATCCGTTCCTCGACAGCAAAGAAGAACACACCTTTGGTGTTCCTGTTAGCCAAGTCATGTCCAGCCGCGTGGTCTGTCTACCAGCCACAGGTATGGAACTTCGTCAGATGGAACGTCTAATGAATGAAAACGCCTACCAAGGCTACCCTATTGTGGAGGACATGAAGACGAAGACACTCGTCGGCTACATCGGCAGAACAGAACTACGCTATGCTATTGATCGCGCCAAAATCGAACAGCAGGCTCCGGGTCACGCAAAATGTTATTTCACATCTTCTTCTCCTGCTAGCAACACCAGTTCCCGAGCTGCAAGCGGCACATCAGCATCAGCACCCAACACAACGTTTGACTCCATACCCACAACCTCTTCTCAAACCTCATTAGACTTCACCCGCTATATCGATCCAACACCACTCTCAGTGCATCCCCGCCTACCCCTCGAAACCGTTATGGAGCTGTTCAAGAAAATGGGTCCACGGGTCGTTTTGATCGAATATCGCGGCCGTCTAACTGGTCTCATTACCATCAAGGACTGTCTGAAGTACCAGTTCAAAGTTGAGGCTGGAGGTGGACACGGTGGTGGAACAGGGAATGGCGATGAGGGTATGGAGAGATTAGCGAGTTGGGGGAGGACAGTGGTAAACTGGGGCAGAAGGAGAATCGGCTTGAAGGAAGTGGGTGAGGTTAGGTTGGCAAGTCCTACGGCTGCGACTGCTAGGGACGCGAGAGGTATTAGGAGAGAGAGTGGTCACGATGACAGAGTTGATGGGACATTTGCCGTCGGAGATGGGGATGACGATGACGATAATATTGGACAAGGTAGGGATGTGGAGTTGGAAGATAGAGGGAGAGATAGATAGTGCATGTGTCCCCGAATCAGAGTCTGGCGCATACGCCTGTTCATGAGAACTGCTATGCTCAAACCTCCGTGCCAGCCTTGCAAACCTGAGATGAAAGGAGCGGGTGGGTTCAGAAGTTAGCTTAGAAAGTGGAGCCGACGTTAGCTTACTTTGCACGTGGTGAGCTGTCATTGCCTGTCGGTATTCGCCGCTTTCTGTGTGGGAGCGAGCAACTGCTGGACGTGCAAAAAGTAACCACAGCAACAGCTCCTGCATACAACGCGGTTTAACGGCTACACCAATTCCCACGCCTTCCAGTAGTACTGCATACGTACCAAATTCAAGAGCCAATCAGACGACGATCTCTCCGCTTCCCCTGCCGCTGCCGCTAGTCAGGATAAGCGTGTGACGGCCGTGCGCGTCTACTTCGCGTGCACCTACTGGGGAAATATACTCAGACAGAGGCACCATCACCATCACCGCCGCCTTACCAAGTGCTTGTTCACAACTAGCAATCTCTCCGACTCCCGTCCCTCACTACTCCGCTAGAAGCGCAAACCACATGTCTTCATAGCAACACAAACGCGATAAACAATCAATATGGAGGGACCCTTGAACCCAGGGGCGCCCAACGGCAGCATACGCACACCCAGTCCCTCACCGCCCTCGATAGACCCCCAGATCATCGTCGACCACCTGGAAAAGGTCCTTGACGTCAGCTTGGGAGCCTCGAAAGAGGATCTATTTGCACCCGGTAGTCTGCTGTCCAGCGCCAAGCTACAGGACACGCTGCAGCGATGCGCCCGCTTCGCCTCCGAGGGGCAGTCAGCGCTGTACATTGTGAAAGACCGGGCAGATGAACCCCGTATCGATGGCATGGATGGCGCAAACGGCAAGTACCCTGCGAAGAGGAAGGAACGTCCAAACTGACACAAGCAGCAGGGGCGACCCAGCATTTTACCTATACCATTTCGACCGAGATTACGGCTTCTCCTACTTGTGCAGCATTTGTTGTTATTTCGAAGCGACCGATACCCATAGACCCCGCGATACCCCTTAGCCAGCAGGTCCTTATTCAGACGTTGCCCGGCTTTATACTTTCTAATAACGCTTCTTCGCCCGATGGCACTCCCTATGAGTTTCTTCGTTCTCTCATTCAGTCTGCGGTCGAGCCGTACTTTGACACCTACACCAAGAGCCAACGCGATCTGGCGGGGAAATACAGCAAGGGCGACAACGATGCTAGGACGGGAATTTCGGCGACAAGGAAGAAGATTGCGGAGCTGGCTGTCAGTTTGGGCAACCTCGAGCAGAATGTGGAGATTCCGGAGCTGCTACTGCCTCTCCACCCGCTTATCCAGAGTGCGCTGGATGATGCTAGTCAGCGTGGCGTGAAACCCTCTCCGGAACTCATCCCTGCCGCAATCGTACAAGACAGTAGCTTCCTTAACGGACTGCAGTCGACAGTCAATGGTTGGATCAAATCGATACAGACAATCACCAAGACATCTCGAGATGTGTCTACTGGAACTGCAGCGCAAGAGATTAATTTCTGGATCTCCATGGAGTCAAGGCTACAAGACATTGAGACGCAGTTGGGTAGTCCCGGTGTTAGGCTCACTTTGGACGTGTTGAAGAACGCGAAGCGTTTCCAAGC